TTGGAAAAAAAATTAACAAAAGAACTTATTTGCGGTATCACACTGAGAATCAAATTCTTAAAACGCCTGTAACGGCACGTTATGCTCTTTCCAGAATACAATCTTTGGCTTGCGTTACAGTCTTCCGAAGGGAAAAAACAGTCCTCTACAATTTCTGAAAACGTTCACACTTGCGTTAGGCACTTTTATCTAATTATGCTTATAAGTCTTAATTAAACATCAAAAATCTCGCTAGACGTACTATGTGACGTATCATGAACAAAGGAAAGTACATAGTCTTTAAGTTTCTCGGGCAAGCGTCTTTGCCTTGTGGAACGTCGTGTTGTGGAGCTTGTTACTTGATTGTCCGTTTGTGATCGGTCATCAGGTACATAAGTCTCTTGTTCCGTAACCGATAGAGAAGACACTGTGGTCGCTACAGGGAACTCTGTGATCCCGACAGACTCTGTCACTGCTGAGGGATCTTCAAGCACCATTGACTCACTCACTTCACCGTCAGGTGGCTCTAGAAGATTCGTCGATTCTGGCGTCGCTGGACGCGTTGCAACCGGCGTGCTTGCATCCGGTGGCTGAAAGCACTGGGCTGATGAAGTCACGACGGGCTCCGGCTGGGCAGCGGGAGGGACCGTTGACTCCTTTGTAGTCGTAGTCGCTGGATTCTCACGGACAGCATCCTTGCAAGGCGATGCTGTGAAAACTTTAGACTTCATACGCATAAAAGGCACTGTTATCTTGTCAGTAACTGAATCGTTATCATCGTCATCAAAATATTCTTGTGGCAAACGACTTGTATTTGTGGTTGCGCTTGCTTGTAGCGAACTCCTCTGCAACTGTGAAGGTACCGCCGTAAGTTTCTTCGCATTCCATTTTCGGCCATCTTGCATACGGTACGTTGCTGGACCAACTTGCTCTTCAATAACTTGCGGTTCTGTATACGTGCTATGGAGCTTAGTCTGATGCAACGGACGAAAAATTCGGACTGACTGTCCTACGTAAAACCTCGGTTCTTTAGCCGCTCTTCTAGTGTCTGCATATCGCTTCATCTTGAACTGATACTTCTCAACTCGCTCATGAAGTTGTGCTTGATTCCTATGCTTTTCTGTCACTTGTGGTGTCTGTACACCTTGGATATCCATTCTTGATCTATGTATTCTACCATGCAACAAAACTGAAGGGGCTCGCCCTGTAGCTGGATGTGTCGTCTGTCTGTATGCTTCTAAGTATTCTTAAACGGCTTCAGGAAGAGGTCGGTGTTGAACTGTAGCAAGTTACAGACAAGACCTTAGAACTCTATTAAACCTTTCCACTTGGCCGTTTGACTGTGGATGGTACAATGACGACTTGAGATGTTTAATGCCATGCCCTTTCAAAAACTCTTCAAATTCTCTGGAGACAAACTGTACACCATTGTCTGTGACGATCTCGCGAGGAAGTCCTTCTCGAGCGAAAATGTTTTTTAGAAACTCGATCACTGTTGCTGATGTGTCTGTCGAAGTATGCTGGACTTCTGGCCACTTAGAGTGGTAGTCAACGAGGACTATGAAGAATCTCTGACTCTGCGGTGCTTTATCTACTGGTCCTACAATGTCCAACCCAATCTTATCCCACGGTTGATCTGGAAACTGGACTGGTTGCAGCGGAGCAGATGCTGCCTTGACCGGTCTGTCTGTCGCGTTACAGACTGCGCAATGCTGTACTTTATGCTTGATCTGTTCATCCATCCGTGGCCACCAATAACGATCGCGGATGATGCTGGCGGTTCCTACGATTCCTTGATGTGTCTCATGTGCCATATCTACAATGTTTTCTCGGAGAGCTTGCGGGACAACTATCTTTTCGCCCTGCATCAACAACTCATTGTGCGCTGATAGCTGATTTCTTACACTGTAGTACGGACGCAAATCTGGCACACTGGCACTATCCGGTGGCCATGTCGACATAGTATACCGTATCACACCAGGCAGAACTGGATCATTGGCCGTAGCTGTCTGAAAATCTGTGCGAGACAAGGGAGCAATGACTAGGGATACTACGTCCTCTTCGAAAAACATACCGTTCTCGGTATCAGGACTGGGAAGCCTAGACAGGACGTCTGCTACTAAATTATCAACACCTTTCTGATACTCCATACGAAAGTTGTAGTTTAACAAACGAGATGCCCATCTGGTGATACGTAGCGGACGTACTCCTGAGCCTTTGTTAGAGAGTAACGTCACCAACGCCTGGTGATCTGTACGAATGGTGAATGGACGTCCCCATAGGTAAACGTGCCATTTTTCACACGCCCATAGGCAAGCTAGGGCTTCTTTTTCACCTGTAGAATATCTACGCTCAGCGTCGGTGAGCGACCTGGAAGCGAAAGCAACTGTTTGAAGATGCCTCCCGGCTCGTTGCTGAAGTACAACGCCTAGACCGTAGTTAGAGGCATCAGTCGATACTACGACTGACAAGGACGGATCGAACATGGATAAGATGGGAGCATTATGGATGCTCGCCTTAACTCTCTCAAAACTCGCCTGAGCTTCAGGGGACCAGACAAAACGCACGCCTTTTCGCAGTAGGCGTCGCAGAGGCTCGACTATGGTTGAACAGTGCGGAATAAACTTGCTGTAATACTCAATGAGACCAAGGAATGCTTTAAGCTTGGCTGCATCTGAGGGAGCTTCAAAATTCTGGACGTGGTCTACCTTTAATGAAAGGGGTGCTAACCCGTCCATGGACAGACTATGGCCATGTTTAGCTTCATTCCCGCTCGGGAGATAGCTGACAGCACCTCTCGCAAGTTATGATCATGCTCCTTCTGAGAGGATCCGTAAACTATAATGTCATCCAAGTAGAACTGCACTCCTTTAGATTCTTTGAGGATTTTTGACATTATCTGCTGAAACGCTGCAGGAGCGGATGCCAAACCGAAACATACTCTCTTGAATCTAAAGAGTCCTTCATGGCGTACAAAACGTTTGTTAGATCTATACTCGAGTATGCCGACGTTGTGTGGGATCCTTACACAAAATGTAATATTAACAAATTAGAAAGAATTCAGAAGAAGGCATTAAGATTTATATTTAACAAGTATGGCAGAAACACCTCGATTTCGGAGCTTTATGTACAGGCCGGCCTTCCGCTTTTAGAAAAACGTAGAAAGATCAATCGACTGAAATTTATTTTTAATCTAATAAATGGGAACTACAACTTGGATTATCTAGATTACTTTCACTTCAACACAGCTAGGTTCACAAGAAATAAACGCAGTAAATCAATCACTGAAATAAAGTGCAGGACCGACTGTTACAAATACTCTTATTTTCCTCGTACTATCCATGCCTGGAATGCGTTACCCGGACAAATCGTCTCTTCAAATTGTCTAACGTTGTTTCTAACATTGATAAACGAATTACCAGAGTTTTGAGGTTTCAGGCCTTGATACCCCTCAAACGAATATTTTTCTGCTCTTTGTGTGTTCGTAATCATATATGTAAATTTTTTTTTTTTGTTTTGTTTTGCTGCGCTGTTACACTCTGTGCTTGCTTTTCTCGTAAAACTTGATCCATGTATCCCTCCTACCTTGGCCAACGCATGGCGGCCGGTAGTATAAATAAATAAAATAAATAAAAATAAATGAGTAATGAATGCAGTTAGATCTCGACTCACCGGGTCGAGTCGGATCTGGTGGTACGCGGATGCTAGGTCCAGCTTGGAAAAGTGTGATGCTCCTTGTAAAGAGTTGAGGAGCTCATCGATGTGTGGCAAAGGGAAAGAGTCTGTGACGACGGCCCGGTTGGGCGCACGCAGGTCGACACACATCCTGATGCTGCCGTCCTTTTTCTTAACTACTACGATTGGTGAGACCCATTCCGAGGCGTTGATTCTCTCGATGACTCCTTGACGTTCAAGTTTGAAAATTTCTTCGGAAACTGCATCACGTAGGGTGATCGGCAGACGACGTAGCCTTGACTGTACAGGAGGCACGTTCTGGCATACTTTTACAGTATGCGTCTGGTTCCGTACCAGACCAAGTTCTGGCGTGAACAAGTGCTCGAACTCCGTGAACCCAGGAGGCAGCTTTGATGTGTCCCGTGCTGGCGGGTTTGAAGAAGACTTTGAACTGGTGACAACTGGTTGTTTCACCTCTGTAGACTCGATGTCCACGACGTCTGTGCCTGTAGATGAAAATCGTGGAGCGTTGATAGTTGGAAGTACTGGTCGCGATGGTCCGTCGCCATGAACGCTTGGTACCCTTGCATTCTGCCAGCGGAAGTGGACACCGGGTTGTAGTGAAGACGATTCGTTGCCTGGGGCATACGGTTGACTTGATCCGAAACCACTGGACTGCTGTGACGACACGGTGAACGGAGTCCTCCGGGAGTCGTCGGCCGGTCTCACAGGGTGACTTGCTGCTGGTCCTTGGACAGCTGCATCAACGTAGGAACATTCAAATTCCGCGCCTGATATGGTCATCTTCAATTCTCGTACTCCATCAATGCCAAGTAGTGATCTCCCGCCCCGAATAACGTAGAACTCTAATGGCACTTGTCTATTTCTGAACTTGACTTTAGCAAGGAAACAACCTAATACTGGAATTGGCTGATGCATGTAGTGCATGAGACGTCTTCGTGGTCGCTGTAGACGTATGTTCCGAGCTCTGTTAATTTGCTGTAATATCTTCTCATTTAAAATGGAGACATGCGATCCCGTGTCAATGAGGAGATTGAGAGGAACTCCATTTACCTTGACATCTGCGATGAACTGGTTGTACTGGCTGTGATCTTCAGCCTGCGGTTTCAGAGACCGAACTGGGGTGTCGTCCGTGGTAACGTTGTAGTTGTACGCTGATGCTGCTGCTGACGAATCAGGCCTCCATGGACGTCTGGAGAGTTGTCGTCGTCCTAGGCTTGAGGCTGGATGACGACGGCGATCACCGTCCGCGGCAGGTGGTGGTGCACGGCTGCGACAAACTATCGCAAAGTGTCCCATCTTACCGCACATGTAACACTGTGCGCTCAATGCAGGACAATGTTCTCTTGAGTGGGTCCCCCGTCCGCAAAACCAGCAGGAGGTGTTTGGCTGCGGTCCGTACCTCGCGGGAGGCAGGTCACGACGTTGCATGTGACTCTGTCGTCCCGATGGGCGAGATGCATGAGCTGAAGCAGGATGTCCTCGATGGAACCTTGGTGCAGGCGTGGTCGGCTCATATGACCATGCAGGAAAACCTGCACTCTGCATAGCTGAATGTTCGTCTCTCGGGAAGACCGGAGACTGCCGACTTTCATGACTGGTCACTTGTGCGCGTTCGGTGTTGGGCACCGCAACATACTGCACCGGGGCAGTGGAATTAGGGGCGTCAGGCACCGCTCGACGAGACTGATGATACTGTTGAGATGTAAGCGCTAACTGCTCAAACTGGAGGGCCAACTGTACGGCACGATCTAGTGTTGGCACTTGTGTGTCCACACACTCTCTTAAGATCCGGTCTTGGACACGACGGGAGTCCAAACCATCGAGGAATAAGTCACACATACGTTCGTCTGACTGCTCTTGGAATGCACAAAGGTCATACTGACGGCGCTGTGCCGCGAGATACTCGGTGACACTTTCACCGGGCTGTTGTACGCGACTGCGTAACTTCTTACGTTCCAGCGCGAGCGAGCCGGAAAACACAAAATGCTTTTCTACCGCCGTCATGAACGTGTCGAATTCATCATGAAGCTCTGTGGCAGGAAGATTTGTTAACCCAAAAGCAGCCACTATACGTTGCCCTTCGACTCCCAGCAACGAAAACAAGAGCTGTTTTTTTCTTCTGGGCTCTACTTGCTCAAGACCCGACGCTCCTAAGAATGATAGGAACGTTTCTTTCCATGCGGGCCATGCCTGCGGTAGCGATCCAGCGACTGCAAGGAATGGTGTAGGTGGAGGTAATGCCGCAGACTGTATGACTGTAAAGTGTTGTGTGTTTTCCGTTATGTAACTGCAGGTATGATAAGGAGTATTTCAAAGTCTGTTTTCAAAGATGACGAAAGAAACAAAAAAATTGCTCAACTGCCAGTGAGGAGCATGTACACTCAAGGCGAGTTTCAACCCAAGATGGAATCGTGTTCGGGACACCAAAAAGAATTATGACCTCGCGTGAGCTTTTGTGCGCAACGTACAGAGAGGTTGTCATGTGCAGCACACTTTCGAATGACCGTTGACAACTTATTATCACCGGCTTTGAACCTCACCAGGTTGACTGACGAAACCGATGGTGATCAATAACACCGTTATGCAAAAGACATGTGTGACGTACGTCGCGCGTTCACAACGTGTGGACACGGTCACAACCGACAAGGTTGAATTTCAAAGAGAGAAGACTACAAGTCCGTAAGTGAATGTAGGTAAACGGCTGTAAAATACTCGGGTAGCCTTGTGCGGCGTACTGTATTAATACACCGAATCTTTTCAGGCGTAAACCTCTGTACGGTGCTTCAAGTCAATGTCAAAGTGCAAAAGCTGTAAATGGTACGCTTGCACGAGCTGGACACAACTGCCTCAAAACCCAACTAGTTGAACGAAATCCCGTCACGAAACACTATTTACGATAACAGGAACCTGCTCACACTAGTTCATAATGTAGAGACGTTCTCGAAAGAATGAAGTTTCGGGCTATAGTACTGCAGTGAAGACGAGAACACCGGTCGGAAGTGCAAACCACAAAACAGCTGGAACATAACGACCTAGGTGTTCGATCGAGTCGGATTCATAATCCTTCAAGCGAAAGATTTCGATTTGCACTGTCACAAATCCGCAAATCCGGAATTCCATACTTCGTCTTTTTCTTCCTTCAAAACGAGGGGTTAACCGCCATGTTGCGAGAATCGGGAAGGCCGGCCGCCATGACTGCCATTTTGTTTTCGTTCGTTTGTTCGTTCGAACAAGGCATCTTGGCGAGGGCCCAATCCCGGCAAACCGCGTCCGCGAACAACACTTGACAATCGTTGTGTTCACAGGGAACCAACCCAGAAAAAGAAGAATCAGGACCGCGATAGTCACCGGGCGCCCATGCCAGTAATTATCCTTCCGAACAGCGACCTCAACCGAAACTTAGAAAGATATCCTCGTCGCCAAAATTATGTTATGTTTTAGGGGGGGGGGGGGGGGGGGGGGGTACACGCGACGTTCCCCCCTGGTCCAGCTACATGTCAAGGACGAGGGTGGCCGGCAAGGGCGCAACTCACCGAGCTGCCCAACGGGGCCCCATGACGCGAGCCGGGCCGGTGGTCAGATCAAAGAGACATGTCGTCGGGTCAACGTTCGGGCCAATCTCTGAGCGAGCTCCTCGAGCCGCCCCAAGCAAGCTCCTCGAGCCGCCCCATTTATTTACACACTCCCGTAGATGGCGCTAGTTTGCAACACTACAATATATTTAATATTTCATTGAGTAAGGGTATATTTCCATCTCTGTGGAAAGAGTCTATTGTTGTTCCTATTCATAAGACGGGGGATACTTCGCAAGTTGGGAACTATCGCCCTGTATCATTGCTATGTCCTTTTTCAAAAGTATTTGAGATAGTGATGCACACCCATCTGTCTTTTTATTTCAAGCGCTGTATCAGTTCTTTTCAGCACGGTTTTATCAAGGGGCGCTCAGTCGAGACAAACCTCTGTACTTTCCTTGAGTATTCAGTGCCTTTTGTTTGTAATCGCGGTCATGTTAACGTTGTTTATTTTGACCTCTCGAAAGCCTTTGACAACGTGAACCACGCTTTGCTGCTGCACAAATTGTCACGTAATGGCGTTTCTCCTGTGCTTTTATTATGGCTTCAAAGCTACCTGACTGACCGTCGTTGTGTCGTACGCATTTAAAAAAAAAACTTTTCTGATCCTTTTTATCCGTCATCGGGAGTACCGCAGGGCTCTAATTTGGGTCCACTATTGTTTTTGATCTTTATCAATGAGATATCTAATTGCGTAGTAAACTCAAACGTGCTGTTATTCGCAAACAACATCAAGCTCTTTTTAAGTATTAGTTTGATCGATGACTGTGACCTTCGCCAAAGTGACGCATCGCATATTTTAGACTGGTGTTGGGAAAATTGCTTAATCATCAATCCAGAATAAACGAAGGTCATGTCTTTCAGTAAAAAACGTGAAACTATACACTATTCATACTCAATTGATGATAAGTGCATTTTAAGAGTATCATCGCTTCGTGATCTAGGAGTGTACTTTGACACTACTCTATCCTTTGGCTGCCATGTCGCCCATATTGCCTGTTCTGCATTTAGATTACTTGGAATGATTACTCGATTAACTAGAAAGTTTGCGAACTATGCTTGTTTCCTTCGTTTATTTTGTTCTATTATCAGATCGAGATTAGACTTTGGCTCTGTGGTGTGGAATTCACTGACACTACGTGATGCAGCTAAAATAGAGTCAGTTCAGAGACGTTTTGTGCGCATAATCTATGACAAATACCTTGGCCGAAGGCATTTTTAAAACTATGAACTCCTGCTCGACAAATTTGGCCTACAGTGTCTATCCCTCAGAAGATTATCGCGCGATGTTGCCTTCTTATATAAAATAGTTCACGGGTACATTGACTCAGCACTTTTGTTCACAGTGAACTTTAACGAACCGACTCGCTCAAATAGGACAGCTCTCACTTTTTATCCCCACAATCAACACATGACATCACCAACAACAAGAATGCAGACAAGTGTAAACAATCTTGGGCATGAAAAGTTTGATATTTTTGATACCTACGTAAATCTCAGTAGACAATTAGATGAGAATATCTTCCGTCGCTAAAAATGTACTGTCTTGTTTTGTTGCATGCTAGTTTTATCAGTTGAGCATGTTTTACAGTTGTGCAATTTGTTTTTTTTTTCACTGTGCCACATTGGAGACCTTTGTTGATTGTTAATTGGCACAAATAAAGGCATTATGATGATGATGATGAAACTGCGTCCAATGCAGAAAGATTTTGCTGCCGGTTGCCTGGGTACCTTCTCTGCAAAGTTCAGTTCTGTTTTCTGATGCCGAGTGCAAACAGGTTCTCAACGTGGTTCTCTATTTCTGCTACAGTGTGGCGTGTTGGGCTAGCTGGTTTGGGGTGAACATCTTGAGAAGAAACAGCAGCAAAAGAACTTCGACACGAGTAAAGAAACGTACACGACAGGACGGCGCAGAACCAAATACTGTAGTTAATTTCACTTAGACGGGCATTACCTAGCCACTGATTTGGACTATCCCATACAGCACACGACGTCGGGCCAAAATTGGTATTTAACTGGCAAACAACGGTTCAATGTTGGGCCAATGTGGCCGTCGTACTACGGATAAGGGTGGTACAGTAGTACATACTTGCCGACATTGGCATGACTTGACGAACAGCTTACCAATGTTGGCTATCGATTGGCTTAGGCTGGCCAACATTGGCCAATCTCAGCCAATGGCTTACAAACGTTGGCAATCAATTGGCTTAGGCTGGCCAACATTGGCCAATCTTAACCAAGGGCTTAACAAACGTTGGTAATCGGTCGGCTTAGGCAGGCCTACATTGGTCTGTCTTAGCCAATTGGTTACAAACAATTGTAATCAACTGGGTTAGGCTGGCCAACTTTGGCCTGTCATATCCAGTCGGTTACCTACAGTGGTAATCGATTGACTTAGGCTGGGCAACCTTGGCCTGTTTTAGCCAGTGGCTTACCAACGTTATAAGTAATTGTCCTAGTTTTTTTAGTGAACTGATCGTGCACACTGAGAACAGTGTGTAGCTATGGCTCCGGGGGGAAACGATTCTTCAGTTTTCACACCCACAGCAAGTTAGCAACTGAAGTAGAACGCAGTATGCATGGCAAGCTGTAGCGCTTTTGAACGTCCATGAAAAAAAACGCCGTTGTCGGTGACAGGTTAAAAGCAAACACTACGGAGGAGGTCGCCTCCTCCCGATCCTTCGCTCTGCAAAAGTGGAAAGAGATGGGAGGACGTTTTACCACCCGTGACTGACTATAACTAACGCACGTAATCCCAAAACTGACAGTTATGCTCAGTGAATTCCCCACGAAATACAAAATGCACGCTTCCTTCGACGTGTGTGTATGTTAATACGGGAAAAGGCATAGTGCCTCTTCTCTTATGTCCATTTAGCGACGCAGCCGGGAAACGTTTCCAGGGGGGAAGGGGGGGGGGGGGGGGAGCGAGGGTTCAACCCCGAAAGCTCCCACCCGCCTCCCCAGTACACACAACATGGGTGTATTGTCAGCTGTATCTGACCTTGAAAATCTCAAAGCAACCCCGTCTGCTGAGCCGCAAAGCACGGCCTATAATTCAGGCTGAACCGGACAAAATTAAAAATAAATAAAAAGCACTAACATTTTTTACCAAAAAATAAAATCTTAAAACAAATATCCGGTGATTGATTAAGCAATTACATGTATTCACGAATAAAAATCACATTGAATTAAAATCTCGAACATTCTATGTTTGAGGTAGGAGGTGACATAAATTGATGCGCATTTCAATTTACAAACAAAGGTTATCACGCAACATATAACAAAAGAAGCTAAGGCATTATATCTGCTTGCCCAAAAATGACTTCAAAGTGCGCACAAAATACGACAACTGCAGTAATGACCACGGTAGTGAAAACGCCCGCAGAAATATGGACTGTAACAGAGCCAATGGGTTACCAACGTTGGCAATCGATTGCTTTAAGCTGCCCCCCCCCCCCCCCACCATTTGCCTGTCTTAGCCAGTTGCCTACCAACGTTGGTAATTGACCACAGGAAATAGTTGAGTACGTTGGTTACACATATTTAGAAGACACCAGCTGAACAAACCAAACATACAAATGTAAGGAGGACGAGAGAGACGCATTCAACCGCTGGACTACCAACTGCATTTAATGAAACACTTCATCTTCATCGGCGGGCTAGGATCAATCATACCTAGCTTGCTTCTGTTCTTTCTTTTTTTTTTCCTTCATTTTTAAACTAAGGTATTCTGCTCGTCTGTCTACTTGTGGGCGGTGCTTCCACCTCGCAAAAACATCCTCTTTTCTCTGGTTAAGGTCACAGATGGTGAACTAACACACATGTCCCCTTTCTCTTGTATGTTTAAAGCTTCTAAAACCTCACGTGCAAACCGGTTTTCATGGTGCCCCATGATGGTAACTTTGTCTAGGTTCGCCTTGCTCTTGCAGTCACGGCAATGTAGGGCCAAGTGGCCTGCTGCCGTCAAGTTCTTCAAACTGTTTGCATGTTCCCGAGTCCTATCATTTATACACCGCCCGGTCTGTCTTAGCCAATGGGTTACCGTCCTGTCTTAGCCAATGGGTTACCAACATTGAAAATCTGTTGGCGCAAGGTATCAGGGTGCCTCGTTTTCTGGAACCGTGCGTAAATAACGAATGAAGTACTCGAGGCAATGAAAATCACTGTTGTAAAAAGGCGTCTTGATAAAAAGTCTGCTAGGAAGACGCTGTAAATAAACAAGTTTTTTATACATCAAAACTAATTGTCAAACTTTATTAAATACTTACTTGAGGGCAAAGGTGTCAATTGGAAAGTTGTATTTTGAATAGATTCTTGATGAAGGAGTTTACAACATGGTACACCTCGGGCAGCACACTTGCTTAGACTAGCTATGGGGCCCAGATTGGACCTTGGCCGTAATAGACTGGACCGGGACTGCCCAGCGAATTCGGTGAACTGCCAGCATGGCGTCTCACTGCATTTACCGGGCACCGAATTACACGGAACTGGCAGGGAAGGGATTTTCTTGACGCCCCTTGTCTCTTTTTGATCGGAGCCGACCAGGGTAGAAAGGCGGGCGGCCACCAACATTTAAAAATATTGTGGCGCTTCACTGCATTCACTGGCACCAGGAGAACGGAGAAGCAGATTCCGTCTGCTTCTTCAATCTCCTTCATAAATAAGCCAATTCCCAAATTATCTTCCAACTCTCGTAGTTGAAATCGCTTGCACCGTGATTCAGGAAAGCGGTTATCGTTTCTTCTTGACACTTTCATACATAGAGCGACGTTGCAATCGTATCCTCCCTCCACCCTCTACAATACGAAATGGAAAATTTTCCAGCCCTCTTATCGATAGCCGTACATCGCTTCGCAATGATGTTATCCCGCTCTACAAGCCGTGAGCTTCTCACTCGCGCCGAGAACCTCTGTTACCGGTTTCGCTTCGTTCGGCGGTGGGCGACGCTCTATTTTGTTCCGAGCCGAGCGTGCGCATTACGCCC